TCAAATGCTCAAAATTTGGTCATGGAGCAACTCGCCATACATTCTTTCGGTGGTTCCAGCGCTCATGTGTCGGAGATCATGCTGATGCGTTAGGCAACAAAGTTTGAATAAATTCTGGAAAGTGAAGTGAATTCAATCATTGGAACAAGAACTGGGAACTGTTCAATGGGGAGAGAATTCTATTCTCTCCGAACTCCAAAGTTCATTATAAACACGTTCAGTTCACGTTTCCTTTAGTTACCCCCACTATGAATTATCCCACAGGGAGAGAAAAGGTACAAACAAAGCAGTGCCCCAATAATCCATTATTGTTAAACAGTGGTTTCCGAGTATCAACATATACTCCCATTCGCATCTTTCTGAAAACATATTCCGATCTGGGGGGATATCAAAAAAATAATAATTTATCATATGCCTGGTTTTCTATAACGGTTCTTTGTTTTGAGTACAAAACTAATCTGCGAAAGGTTGGAACTCGTGCATTTGGAAAATCCATAAGTGGGTTTCGTTTTCTATCGTATTTGAAAACAAATCGTTCATAGATCAGAATCGGTTTAATATTTACGATTTCCCTCATTATTGATCGATTTGCGTTAAGATTTCATGCACGTGTGGGATGTTCCACATGATAATTGATCGCGTAGAATGCCTGGATTCTTTCCTAATGCAGTATATTCCGCTTGAATTGAAACTGCTTTTTATCCCATCATCCCATCATCGAATACACGAAGCTTGATAATGTTTTATTCTAAAATCGTATTTGAGTTTGCCTGAACCGTTCACTTCTCCCACTGTCTGTTTGTCTATCTGTCTGGGCTTGTTTAATTGTTGCAGGTGCACACCACGTTGCCCAACCATCACCACCACCACCACCACATGTCTGACGGTACCCGTTGAGGAACTACTCATAGGAACAATTTCAAATGGCTTACATTTGCACACCAGATGTCTGACCATCATATCTACCCTCCGTGGAACATCTACTACCGAGGCATTCGTGTTGGTCATGAATCGAGTGCATTCGCGTACCCGCGTGCGAGAGGGAAAGAGAGTTCCGGTTCAGTGCAAATGATAAGCGGCTTCCGAAAAGAGGATTACCATCTGGCGGGGTTCTTAGTACAGCGAATGAAGGGTCATTCGCTGATATCGAAGGAATGAACAAAATGGGAGTAAGGTCAGAAGAGGTTTCTCCCGCAAATTTCACTCTCCACGCCCAAGTGAAACAAACGGCTAATACCGGATTTCATGAAACAAGAACAACAAGTATCGTTATACTTAAAAATAGTTTACCCTTCCAAACTATAAATTCTTTACCGCCCTTCAACCAGCGGATTGTCCTTTTCATTTTGGTTTTGTTTCTTAAAATACCATATTTATTGTGTTTTGAGCTAGATAGTATTTTTTGGCCAAAAATTAATTGCATATTTTTACTACTGCGTATTAGCAGACATGATCATCATACCATGAGTGTCCCTACATGTTGAATGCATGATAAGTAACCGACTAAAGTAACATACTTGTCTCTGTACCGATTGGCTAACCATAAATAACCGCAGGCAAATCTAATGTGCACGCCCCACAATGGTAAACACAAAGTAGATATTGCCGCTGATGACGGTTAAATCAATCAGAACTCAGACTTAAAGAGAACATGCTTTCGGTCAATTTGTTTTCACATTTACGTTCATACGCTACATTATAGTGACCGGAGTTTGTTTGTGGAAATACAGTATTTGTTGAAACTCAGCATACTATTTCTGGGAGGATGACATGATAGGTGAGCGAAGCGACTAGGCGGCATGCATGAAAAGGCTACCCAACAATTGTACGATGTCATCATCACCAACAGTGGAATCAATCCTGTTGGGCAGCGTTAATCGGCAGTTTATCATATGATCTAGTCTCCATCTACACTGCGTCATGTCTAATGAGTGAATGTGGATTTAGATGAAAGGGGCACAAATCATTCCCCCTTCGAACAGAAAATCACCGAGGGATGCGTTCTCAGTGGGCAGTGAAATGTGTGCAGTGGCGAGCAATACGCAAACGAATAGGTATTTTCCACATTTAAGCGTGCTCGTCGAAGGTTTTTGAACACTGGTAAGTGTGACATGGTAACATCATCAGAGTGGAAGTTTAAAGCACATCTGGGGAATCATCTGATGGCAAGATACGAGTGTGAGTTTTCCGCGATTAGGTTTGCGCATCTGTTCTAGTCCACCACCGTTGAGCATACGCTTTGAATAGCTTTTCCATGACGCTAACACGTTACACAGCTTCACTTTGCATTACATTAGTTTCATGCCTATCATAGTATAAAATCAATTCCTTTGTTAATTTAGCTATTCGTTATCAATCTAATCGAACATTTGTCGAAGGTCGAAAGTCGGCAGTGGTTTCCACTATCTCTCACCTAGGNAACGGTGATGTTTGCAGTTGAGTAAGAACACGGGAGCAGCATGAACTCAATTTTTCGACTTAACATGTTGACTCCACCATAGTTCTCTATTTTCGTGCTGGAAACTTCGTCAACATATTCCCTTTGAAATTACTTTCAGTTCAGTTCATGCGGTCGTTAACCTCGCATTTTTCGAGGCCATATTCTGCTGTATTTATTGACTGGTTTGGATAAAAGCGCGGAAGAAAGAATTATAGCTCTGGAAGTAGCGTCAGTGTGCCAATAGGGGATTGGAGCAGAATAAGGTTGCTGTTACGTTATGGCGTTGTGGTGCTCGAACTCCCATCGACCGTATTGATCATTCTTTCGCAACGGCCAAACGACTGCAGTCTGCATCCAACCCTTCACAGTCAAAAAAATGTTGTAAGGTGGCAAAGATGTCACAATTTGGTGGTTCTTCCACCAGGTGTGGCTGCCAGTGTACCAAATTTGTCTACTCTCTCTCTTTTAACCTGTCAGTAATACTGAAGTTATAATGGGACCAATCCAATCATGTGGTAACATTTTACACTGTCGAGGAGGTTCAGCGTGCATGTCGTGCATAGCTAAATAAGCTCTCAAAACATTCAGAAAAGGTTTCAGTTAGCAGTACAATGCAACCTGTGTACTCCATAACAGACAATTTACCATCTGAAAGCCTATAGATGCCGCTATATCTGCATTATGACGAAATGGCTAGAGAATTATGTGATTTATAGAGTCAACGAGAAAAGGAGACAAGATAACCCTAACGAATTCTGCTTTCTGTGGTGAACTGGAGCGGAAAATAACCGTGAGCTGTAACTCGACTTTAGCTATTGGCATATAAGCAATCGTAATATTGAAACAATCGTCTCTGGCACACTCTTGGGTGAGAGGCAGCGCCAGAGTACAGAGTGGTTGACTGCATCTAAGATGTTGATCGGACGTGTACCTCTGTGATTTCCTTGTAAATCAGTATGAGGCATTGATCACATTATTCACCTGAGAACTTTTCATTATCCTTTATTGAACCAAGGAGTTTCATCAACACAAAGACTGAACCTCTATCCTCAAAAACCCGTGGAAACAGCATTTATTGACTAGAAGCCAAACAACTTTTAGGATAACTTACTTTCGAGTAACCTCGATGGACCATTCATATTTATTTCTACAGTAGATATAAACACACGCAGCTGTGAATGTCTCAAGACGAAGTTACAAAAACAAGCTTGTTTACTATATTGTTTGGCTTATGATATGCTGATGGGTATCTTCCACAGCCTCAGTTTCTTTTATTGCGCAGTTGAAATAACAGTCGGAAAATCTAGTCTCCATAAGGTCCAGTTAAGCATCAGATTTTGGGGAGAGCCCTTGTTTGAATTTTCATCGTTTGCAAGAATTCATAGTTGTTTAGGTAGATCTGTGAATAGCTTCCCATTTTCGCTTTCAGCTTTCATTGAGTCATTAGGCTGGTGGTTGAACTCAGAAGCGCTAAGAGAGTTCTGCTTCCAAGGCTGAGTTCCAACTATCGTTTTCATTGCTGTGTGGGGTCCGTTTCTGGAGGGTTTGTTGCGGTTGTTTACCACGCCAGAGGAAGATTTCGTTTGTACAAGAGCATGGTCTTTGTCCACGGGTATGACCGGTGGCAGCGGCAGTCTTGGAGTAATCCCCGACAGATAATGATAATATGTTCCCTTTACGCTCATTACTGAGAATAGTTAGACGTATTCATGTAAGGCGGTATCCTTTATTGAAGGCGATGTTGGTGCTTGATAGAAAAAAAATCAGTAGTCAGCGCAACG